AACATAAATAGTCAAATGTGATCTACTAAAAACTTTTAAGAACACATCTATAATATTATTTAATATATAATTAACTAAATAAATAAATAATACATTGGTTTAATAGTTTGGTTCGGTTTTGAACTGAACCGAACCAAATTATTCGGGTGGAGAATAAATTCAACCAAATGGTTAGTGTATATATTTTAGTTTGGTTTGGATCGGTTCGAGTTAGATTAATTTCTCCACCCCTAGTTTATAGCATTTGATCAAGGCTGCAACATTTTTGCAATAGAGGTTCTCATGTTTACTTTTTGTTCACAAATGACCCCGTAAATATAAAATGCATCCCCAATCTCTCTCAAGCTTTGTAATAGAAATACTTCAAAGTCTTTTGGATATGGAAAAAAGAAGAAATTTCCATGGATACAACTGAAACAAGAGAACTGAGATTACAAATGATTGCTTTTAGTGTTATTCAGATTGCACGGTTTCTGAGAATCTCGATCCCAAAGTAATCGATATCCGTTTGAATACGCGGAACATTTGGCTTCCATAGCTTCACCCGAACAGCTGTTACACAAGGGAATGATTCCAGAGTTTTGGACGCTATGAGTTCCGCTACTGACTCCAAAAGGTTTCTCGGTGATCCTTCTACTACTTCCTTTGCAAAACTGAAATTGTAATTCCATTCCACAAGAAAACATAATACAACAGTTTTAAAACATAGCTTCAAAGCTACTTCATATGCAAAGTTTAGTCACAATATATATATAACCAATTTCAAAATCTTCCATCTCAAGGATCATTTCATATACATGTTATCAAGAAATATTACATCAATGCATCATTTTTCTAGCAAATCTGGTTGTGTTGGTAAAAAAAAACTAACTTGTAAATGTCGACATAGCTGACTGAATCTTCTAAGTTGTCTGATAAACCGGCCTTTTTGAGACACATCCATGCATCAATGTCAAGCATAAACATCTGTCCCAATGTTCTCTCTTCAGGAAGAGCTCCATGGAAACCGTAAAATTTCAAGCCTCTCAGTATCAGTTTATCTCCCATCATTGTCTCCATATGGTTCTGTAGCAAACAAACACTATCAGGCTTATTACTTGTTGAATCAAAAGGGCATAACTCACAAAGACTTCAAAAACTCGGTTTTTTTCAGACAGTCTTAACTCAAAAGTGTCGTATATACTGTAGTAACAATACAGAAACTCTGGAAATTGCAATCTGGAAACTATAAAGATCGTTCCCATGTCCCAATCTAGGTCGATATTTCTTGTTCAGTAGAACGAAAAAAGCATTAGGATTAGGTAATCGAAGAAGCTTACGAGATTTGCGAGAGAGATAAAGCGGCGCAGATTGAGGAGGAAAAAGAAGAAGAAACTGTAGCGAATACGATAAACCTATTGACTAGAGTCCGCCATTTCACTTTCTGACGAACATTTCTAATGTTTAGGTCTTGGGTTGGGCCATTTCAAGCCCAAATTTAATTAGTGTAATTTTCATTTTTCAACCGAACACAACAAAATTTAAAATTGAAGCTTTTTTATTTTATTTTCCCCCCATAAATTAATTTCACTCAATAACATTAGAACGTTGTTAATTTATATATAAAAAAAAATTACTTAGATCAATAAATTAATACTGAAAAAGTTAATGAATTATTGAGCGATTAGTTTATACTTATAGAGAGATGTAATTGTATTTGAATATTACGACTATGAATATTATAACTATACTTTTTTAAAGTGTTTTGGGTAAAACTTGAAACAGTAAGGGGAAAACAAAAAAAAAACTTGAAACAATCATTGGATGCAATTTCGGTCAATATTTTCCTTTCATTTTGCTCTTTCACCATTCTTATACTTGTTTAAAATTGTCATATTTTCAAGTAAATTTATACAGTTAACTTGGACCTACTACGTTGATATAATATATGGTCACTCTTAATTATATGATTTGAGCAAAGAATTAATCACATTTATAAGCATGAGTTTAGTTGCTTCACACTTTTTGTTTGTTTGTATCTTCCAAAAACCCTTCTTTTCTACTTAAAAGAAAAAAAAAACTTCCAATCAAACGTGGTTGCTTGCGTTTCAAGCTACTAACGAGGACTCTGGTATGACTCAGGAAACCATCTCTGAAGTAGCCTATGTTTTAGCTTCACCAACAATGCAAATGCTCCATAACATGGTAAATGCATCACTGCAACTGAGAAATACCTGTAAATATAAAGTTTTGAAAAAATATTAGCCCTAAACTATACAGTAAAGCAAGAGATCAATTCAAACATAAATGTCATGAAGATTTGGAGTTACCATAGTGGAGCATAGTGTGATGATAAATCAAGGAATGGGTAAGGCCACCTGTTATTTTAGAACTTGTGTTAAAGGAGATAATTAAGAGTGATTAATTAATAATAATAATTATTGAGATTTGTAAGATATGTTACCATATATGGACCAAGGAGTGGAGAGTCCATTGGAATAAAACATAAGCTATTGTCCAAAAGAAGAAGTAAGCAATTCTGAAGCATGGAAAGCTCTGTAATAATGAAAAAAAAAAATCAAAAAATCAAAATGTCAATCAAATTGATGAGTTAAATAAGACATGTTTAATTTTCTAATGAAAAGAAAAAATCTAAGTTTTACCAAAGAATTCAAGGCAGCATCACCAAGCAAGAAAATGGCGTTAAGAGAATGCATGTTGATCACCAGCTGCAAATATTGATCACATCATTAAAAAAAAATTATATATAAATGGATCAAAAATGTAGTATATGGATGGTTTAATGATCACTTACAACATTGAGGCTATAATCATGGATCTCAAGGAAAGGAACAATGATGAACCAGAAGACACAGTCAGTGAGCAAAACTGCACCTGCATTCATCTGTTTTGCGCGAAATATCCAATCAAGAAATCATTAAGATTTCGATATATATATATATAACTGTTTCATGGATTTTGTTCTTAATTACCTGAAAGATAATCTGAAAAACATATCCCCAAAAACCAGCTGGATTACTAGAGTATTGACTCTGTTGAAGAGTATGATCAGAGCCTTTAGATCTTGCTCTCTCCGAGTCTATGGCTTCAACTCGATCGCCAGCCGCTCTTTTGTTGTATTGATAACATCCGTGCAGCGAAAGAAGCGAGCCTAGCTGTTAAAAGATATATAAAAAAAAAATGTAAGAAACTTGAGCAATGTCATAAACAATAACCAAAGTAATCAGAGGTTTTGAGATAGAAACATTACTCCGAAATAGAGAGTGATCAAAGCAAAAGTCCACCTGCAAATCAACAAAAGACACCATTAAAAAAAAAAACAGTTAGAGACCAAATAAAAAACAGAGATATTGGTTTTGTGTCTATTGTCTGAAGATTTGATTCAAAACCAGTTCTTGCCCTCTTATTCTAAAACCCACCAGAAACCTTTTAATCAAGAATGTCACACTCTAGCATCTATATGATTCAATTTCCCACTAAATGATTCAAGAAAAGGTTTCGAAACTGTTTTTCTCCTAAAACCCACCAGAAATCTTAAATCAAGAATGTCACAACTCTTAACCAAGAATGTCACATTATTTGCCTCTATGCCTATGAAACTGCAGACATTCTTGTCTCTTTGCTTGTGAAGCTGAAAAACTTTTATTTTTACAACCAAACAATTCAATAAAAGTTCCATTTTTTTTCCCAAAAACCCACCAGAAATCTTAATATATTAAACAAATGTCACATTATTGCCTCAATGCTTGTTTAATTAAACCTCCAAAAATCTTTGCTTTCCCACAAATTCAAGAAAAGTTTCCCTTTTTTTTTCTTTCTAAAACCCAACCGAAATCATAATTAAAAAGCTCACATTCTTGCCTCAATCTTTGTCAATCTGCAAAATCCTTAATCACCCTCAAAAACCTCAAGAAAAGTATCGATTTTTGCTTCAAGAACCCACAAGAAATCGAAATCAAGAAAGTCACATTCTAACTCTTATCA